GCTTTAAGTCATTTGGACAATTCTTAAGTGGCCCTGCAGAGCAGACCAAGCAGACAAAGGAAGGTACGTCCACTAAGTACGTACCTGTGCGAGGAGCTCATCGGCCGTTTTGGAGGAGAGGTCGGCCAGAAGAGCATACAATGTTATGGCCATTCCATCCTTTGCAGCGTGAAACACACGAGTTCGCAGGGAATCCGAGATGTGACAAACCTCTTCGAGAGGTGCGTCAACCATGATGTGGATTTTACCGTCGTCTTCAGGATCCAGCTACAACGCGAAGAGCACAACAACATACAAACAACATGCAACACGGGCTGGTCAAGCAGACGGCACTGCGCAGCTCAGCGCCGCTCCTAGCCAGACAGAGTCACTTCGAGTACCTTAGAGAGCCTCGATTCATCCAAATAGAAAATAAGCTGCTGGTGCGCACTTTCCAGCCCCTCCGAAATGAATTTTCGGAGGCCAAACGATAAAAATGCGCTCAAAACTGGCATACAGGGACACAGTTACGACGACGTTTCGCGACGACCTCTTGTCACGGCCCACGCCTTTCAGAAATTATCATTGGCACGAATATTGCTCGGAGGAGTCAGTGTGTTGGCCCGGACAAAGGCACTGACTTGGTCAAGCGCGCCACACGACAACTCACTCGCCTAACTATGCGACCGAGCCCGGTACTGTACGATCTAAAAATATATCGTAGGTGGAATGTGTGTTCGCAAACAAATCAGGCGTTGATTGCAACTTACACCCATGAGTGTCCCGTGTTCACTCACCTCCGGCATGGACCCACCCATTGCATTTAGCTAGGCTTGCTCGCGACGTTGTGAAAAGTGTTTCCAAGCAATATCGACGCGACCATCAATAAAGAAATCTTCTCTGACGTTGTTGAAACTTCGGAGAAAACTACCATGCAAATAGGGGGAGGGGCGTAGAAAGACACGAGAACGTTAAAGTCACTCATGCAGAAAAAACGCAATAACCACCACGATACGAGTGCTAAAAGAATGCAAAAATGTTATTGGCACTCACCGTCAGGTGAATGGACCAGGAACAAGCGAGAAGTGTGTCCCGGTGAATGAACTGTAGAAGAGGGATGCCTTTGTTCATTTATTTCTCTGTCCCTCAATTGTGGAAACGGGAAGGGGTGAGCGAAAGTAATTGCTGAATCATGCCATGTGGGTTGCCAAATGCCACATGCCCATGCCTTTCCAAAGCAGAAGACGCTGAATGAGGCAAAAGCTACGTCAATTTATTGCGACCTTTATGCAGTCTGAATGTTGTCTAGGATGCCTTACGTATCATCAAGCTTGCCAAAACGGTTTGTTAAGTACCCAATCACTTAGGATTCTTCAAATCTTTTTTTGGTTCTTTGTTACACTCGGTCGCATTATTCAATGGGTTCAAAGTTTCCCGCCTTTTTGAACTTCTCAAACCTTAGGTATGTTGACACCAACTCTGGCAAAACAAACAACATTTTCAAGGAAGTTGCGTAATCACCAATAGAGCAAAAACAACCAATTTAACAAACATTTAAGTATAGATCAATTATATCTTGCGTCAAGCAAAGTCATATCTTGAGTAAAACAAAACGTTCAGTTGGTCGTCTTTTTTTTAGTGAGTTGGCAATCGAAGTCAAGTGAAGGAGAGCTGATTGTTGCTGTTGCCGTGTTCAAAATTTGTATACACACGTGTTATATGTGAATTATTGACGATGTCTTTCTTTATTCGCAACAAAACGTCGAAGAAATCAAAGAAAGAGGAAAAGCAAAAACGCACGGTACGTCTCAGATAGCTTTGTGGCTAGAACTACTTGCCATTAAAACTTACATTCAACTTTTGGCTCTCTTAACCTCTGTACAAAACGTGACCCTCTATCTCGAAGCCAAAACTGTTCTTTATTTCAAACGTGAATTGAAGTATCAGTCTTCAAAGACTCTTTGGCTTGATATCTACTTTCTTATTTTCATAAATTTTGATGTTATTACCCTTGGTCAATTTTGAAAACGATTTTTACCATTTCTAACTTTGACTACTTTTTCCATTTCATAAATACAGTCTTCAGAGATCAAAAAATCTAAGAGGAAATTTGAGGAAACTCTTACTGCTAAAGAAAAATTCAGCATTGATGACAGTGAGGAGGATGAAGAAGCTGAAGGAGCTACTAGTTCAGATGAGGATCTGGCAGAAACAACACAGGAGAAAAAGCTCCGTTTAGCCAAAAAGTATTTAGAAGAAATTGAAAAACAAGGTATATTTATGGCTTAAAAATCAACCAGTGGTATAATACATAATATTATTCATGAGTTCGTGTTGCTTCTTTCTAGAACGTGAACGAGCAGAACTACAGGAGGTAGACCAATCTGTCATAGAAGGACGACTAAAACATGACCTATTGGAGCAGTCTGGTCGGCTGCACAAGAATGTAGCAGATAAATTTATTGGCTATGATTCGGAAAACATCAAAGTTTTGCGATGCAAGGAACATAATCTTCCTATTACTTGTTTAGCAGTTTCAGCAGATAATAAATTTATATATTCAGCCTCTAAAGACTGTGTTATAGTGAAATGTAAGTATTTCATCTTGTTTTCAGAAATACATGTGATACAATACCTCCTAAATTTAATGTGGAACTCCAACATATTGCTAATTTAGGGTGTCTTGTGGACAAAAAAAAGTTAAAAGCTACTCCTAATCCAAGGAAATGTTCAGCTGATTTGAAACAAAAGTGTCATCAGCATAGGATACTCTCATTAACAATTTCCACGGATGGAAAATTTTTGGTATGATTGTTTTGTTGCATGCATTCTAATAACATGGCAGTTAGTTTTTTTTTTGGTTTTTTTTAATAACCATTGATGGTAATTACTTTTTGTGAAAGGCTGCTGGTGATGAAGGAAATATTATTCACATTTGGAATGCTGATACTCTTCAACACATGCACACATTCAAAGGTCATAAAGGCCCAGTTACTGGCCTTGCCTTTAGGAGAGACACACATCAACTATTTAGTGTATCAACTGATCGAGCTGTGAAGCTGTGGAGTCTTGATGAAATGGCTTGTATTGAAACTCTGTAAGTATAGTGCTCAAACTTATTTGGGTTGAAGGAGGATGGCTAAACCTGCAATGTTAGATAACATATATTATCACCCTATGAGCAGATTTGGACATCAGAGTGGAATCACCGCTGTTGATGCATTGGCTCGAGAAAGAGCTGTGACCTCTGGAGGCCGTGACAATTCTCTTCGAGTTTGGAAAATAGTTGAGGAATCCCAACTTGTTTTTAATGGTCATCAGGGTAGTATTGATTGTGTGCGTCTTCTGGATGAACAGCACTTTATCTCAGGAGGAGATGATGGGTAAGTTCTTCTTTATTTGAGTACCTCATTGAATTTAAGGAAGGCCTTTTAAAATATTTCATCCCTCCTAATTCAGAACTCTAAGTCTCTGGAGTGCCATGAAAAAGAAGCCTCTCTGCAGTGTGGTAAATTCACATGGTAGAGATCAGACCACTAATGAGGCTAATTGGGTTTCTAGTGTAGCAAGTTTCCTCAATACTGATTTAGCTGCATCAGGTAAGTGTGCTTTTACTGTTTACCTATTTCGTCTTTCTATTGTGATGACATATTGACGAGTGCCCTTTTACACAGGTTCAAACAATGGACAAATCATGCTGTGGAAAACTGGTCAAGCATGCAGATCACTTGTGTCTGTATTCCACATTCCTGTTAAGGGATTCATCAATGGTTTAGCATTCACATCTGATGGTCAATACTTAGTTGCTGCTGTAGGACAAGAACACCGTCTAGGAAGATGGTGGAGAGATCCTAGTGCTAAAAATAGTGTGATCGTCATTCCCCTAAAACAAAATCCCTCATAATATAAAGAATAAAGAATTTCTATAACTACATTTGTAGCTTTTGTATGTGACCAGAGGAAATATCTATTGCATAGCTAAAAATCATGAAAAGTATAAAAATCTGTTGCTGTTGACTAATCTTGTTCAACATTTCATTTACCCAGCTTTCAAAGAAAACACAAAAGATTTTGTTTAATATTTATTTGAAAACAAGGTCGTTAAAATTTTAATATATAAATACAGTCTATAAATCTTAAAATTAATCTAAAATTCTGTTATAATTTTGTTCGGCTGAAAATAAGCTGATGGTTTGTACGTCATGCTATCTTTATTTTCTTTATCTGTTGTTTTTCCTTGAAGCGTTCATTCTATCTTTTTGTCTTTGAAATTCCTGAAAAATATTGGAAAGCAAACCTGACAAGACACCTAGGTTTTTTGGTGTGAATAATACTATTCAGAACTCAGGTTGACCAAACTTACCTTATATTAGGATTTGTTCCACTAGAAGATGAACTTTTGACTTTGGATACAACTTTTTGGTTTTCCGGAGCAGAGGATGGATTTGACCGAGAACTAGATTGTTTCTTCGACCGGGATTCATCTTGAGATTGCAACTGCGAGAGTGTGACTCTATCAACAATAGGGCGGGCAGCTGGAGTTTCACTTGACATGACCCTATGGACATGTGATGAAGGTTGAATCTTGAATGAATAAATGAATGACATTAAACTTAATTATTAAGTTAAGACGAGATAAGCTAGAAAAAGTATTAAGAACACACCATAGCTCCTGGGAAACTGCGTCGAGTTTGGACCCCTGGGCCACCAGCAGCAGTGCTTGCTACAAGAGGTGTTGAGGAGAAGGGCAAAACCCCTCTAGTAGCAGTTGTTCCTTGGTTCGTCATTGGTGGTCCTGAAATATGAAGACCGGCGCCAGCCCCCGCACGTCCCAGAGATGAGCCAAGTGTGTAAAGAATTGGTGCTGAAGGAGCTGAGTTATAAAGAGCTGAGTGCCCAGGTTGCCCATGAGCAGTTGAGGGTGGAGAGGGGTCCAGATGTTGTCGGTTTAGACTACGATTCAGATACGTAATCACTGCAAATTGCATTTTGCCAGGATTAGTCTTTGAGATGAAGATAGTTAAAATAGCAACAACATAAATAATTGAATACTAACAGTCTCCACACTTCTTATGCTGTTCATCTTTGGCTAGAATTGCCTCATTGGCAGCCTTAAGTTGTTCATGTAGTGTCTTCTCTGTGTCCTCAAGTGCTTTAAGACGAGCTCCATCCCGCTCCGCATTTGCCCTTAAAAGTTTCATTTCCAACTCTACACGTTTGAGTTTACTCTCCTCTTCATGTTTCTTTGCTGCCATTCTTTGAAGCTAGTAAAATTTTAATTAAAAAGAAATAGAAAAATCCAAGTTTACAATTTGATACCAACAAACAATGAAATGCCTACCTCATGCTGCAATTTATCAAGTTCCTTTTGGTTTTCTTTAATTATAAGATTTGCTTTAGTGAGGTCACCATTTAATTGAAGCACAAGATCACTGCGTGACTGAATTGTTTCTTGCATTTGTGTCAAAGCAGACTTTAGTTTCACCTGAAATGAAATTTGTTAAGCCCTGAAAACTTTATTGATTGTTTACAAATGTAGGAAGTGAAGCTCACGTGTTCAGAATCAGCCTGCCGCAATAACCCCTCTTGACGTGTCAAACGGGTTCGCAATCTTGCTACTTCCTGTAAGGTAGTTACTTGCAAATTTAGAGTTTTTTGGACTTATACCATGATGAAATAAAGTTACAACTCACTTTGTCTAAAGCATCAGCATGGGAACGAGTTTGATCTATGTCTTGATCTTTTTTACGACATTCTGTTTCAAGTTCTGATTTGTGTCTCCGTAAATCTGTCAATTCTCGGTTCATTGACTTCTGCATCTCTTCATAGCTTGATAATTTCATACTCAACTCTCTAAATCAAATTAAGATTGCCATCAAATTTCAATTTTTAGATTAGTTTTGGTAAAATAGAATTGATTCTGATTTTTTTTTAAAGTTCTGGTATACCTTACAGTTTGTTGAGCTTGTTCATACTTTTCACAGATTTGCATGTGTTTATTTTTATATCTTGTGCATTCTCTGTTTAAATCTTCAAGTTTCGCACTAAGATTTTCACGTTGATATGAAGCTGAATCCAAGTCCCTCTTCCTATCCTGTAATAATAAGAAAATACTTCCATAAACCTGATTGCCACTGAAATGAATAGGCATAGAATTTAGAGAGGACATCTTTCTACCTGAAGTAATTGGTCACGCAGAGTATCCATCTCCTTTGAGAACTGCTCTTGAAGTTTGTTTTTTTCTTCATCCCAACATTTGGTATTTTTAGCACACTGTTGCTCTTTAAAATTGAGTTCCTGATGCAACTGAGTGTTTTGAGACTGCAAACACCTGAATTCGTCTTCTTTAGAGTTAAGTGTTTTCTTGAAAAATAAAGATAAAATTATAAGCAAGCAGCTATATAGCAATAAACTAGGAGATACAAATATGATTACTAAAGATTACCTTCAGGAGGCCAATCTGATTCTGCATATGTCGCATCACCTCTGTGTCTGATCCCTGGGTAATTTTTAGAGCAATGTAACATAGGTTCTTCAGATCAATAGGTTGAACAACTTTTAAATAGTTTTCTATCCCATTTTCTTCTAAGATCAATAAAAACCTGTAGAATAGACCTGCGGCATTAATAAGTGTTCGCAATAGATAACACAAAAATAACAGTACATTAAAACTTAGAGAGCTGTTGAGGAAAGTACTCAAAAAGATGAAATTGTACCCTTTAACGCTGTTTAGGCATTGTTCAAATAACTTCACTAAATGCACAGGGAAATTTACAAAATCAACCAAAAGACCTTGCTGCGATTTGATGACTTTAAAGTCTGATTCAGACACGTGAAGAATGTACAACAGTGCTGGATCATTGTCATCTGTTATCCGCACCTCAACTTTCTGAAAAAGCAAAATGTTTGACAGTTATCCTAACCTGCTCATGAGTAACAAAATGACATTAAGGGAAAGCAAATCGTAAAAATAACAAAGGTAACAATCTTACTGAGACCTGTTTGCCAAACCCGAACACCTCGACTCGTAAATCTTTTGTTTTTCCATTCGGCATGACAACATTTTGAATATTGGTATACAAACAATGCTCATTGTCCAAAACCATAATGAAAATGACACTTTTTTGAACAACAAGCAGACATTTCCACTTTCCCTCCAAAAGTTAAACTGGTCCAGGAGTACCACAGCTATGTGAGAATTACGTCAAACGTACATCATTATTATGTCGAGAGGCGCTTTAGGTTGTACGCATTAAGTCAAAAGTGATTTTAAACTGTGAAATAAACTGTGAGAAAGTTTGAAAAATGAAGTAATGCGGCAATTTTTTTTTGAAATGTTTGTTTTTGGTTGGTGGCATAATCTCTTCACGTATGTGTAACTTTCTCATACTAATGTGTTCGTAGCTCTCTACCGCGCTCTCTTTCAAACGAAGGCGGGTTTAGCAATTGAGAGTATTGCTCAAATATTTGCAGACTGGGAAATTAATCGAGTCATCAAAGTCATGATACATATATTACACGTACATAAATAACTATTTTACAATTTATATCACAAAATTACAAATTAAACGGAGAAATAAATACAAGATAAAATAGTCTTGAGCGAAGTTTCAGTCGTTTGATCCTTGGAGAGCAGGATCCTGTGTTCTGAAGTCCTGTCTAGGACTATCCTCCCATTCTAGGCCTCTCTTTTCCCACTTCACATGTAGGATATACTCTCTGAAAAGAAAAAAGATTCATCAAGGGCGATCATTCGAGTTTGTATATGTGACTATTTAACAACCTTTACTATCGTAGTTATACTGTGCGGCACGGATACGTGCGAGCGGGTTGCCTACACGCTGGGCCAAAAGGCGCAATGGTCTCAGACGATAGGCAAACCCGCTGTACGACAACAAAAGGAAGCGGAATATTTCAGCCATTTGGTATTCCGGTATATACATACCTTGGCCCGGCAGTAGCAGCATGCTGGAACTCCTGTGTGGGGCGGTGAACTCGTTGCTACCCGGCAGGAAATGGGTACCTCTGACGGTGCCATGAAGCGAACCTCTAGCCGGACTTATTCGTACCGTCCCACCGTGGCCTAGTGCTGCAAACTCACAGAAAGGAATGTCCATGAGCACGGGCAGACGTTGAGCACTCTCGGCTGAGCGGGTTGAACTCCCTCGGGCCCCGGGCAGATATGAGCCCGCCCATGCCTACAGCTGACCCACCTTGCACGCTGCGTAGGGTGCCGCTCTGAGCGTTGCGCAGGGCCGCCGGCATACCGCGCACCGTCCCGAACAGGGACAGGTGGTGGGGGTGGTGTATGTGGTGGGACAGATGGGGTCCTCGGATGGTACCTCTCACCGTGCCCCGCCCGTCCCCTGTCGTCATGGCCACGACCACTGGTGCTGGAATTGCGATATCTGTAACACCTGGACAGATGAACGCTATGAAAAATAGGGGGAACAATCAACCCCGTGGCGAGAAGATGATAGTGTGACAAAAGAGGAGCTTACCTTGGCTACCCGAGTCCTGACTGCTAAACATATCGATGGAGTACAACGAGCTGGGCACGACCTGGGTGGGGTCCAGCGGGTCACGCGAGCCCAGCGGGCGCAGCTGTTCCAGGGGCTCCAGCGGCTCCAGGGGGTCGTTGTAGTCGCCCTCGAGGTCGGACCCCGAGTGGGAGCCGTGGTCGGACTGGGAGGCTGACTCGCCCAGGGACATGTCGGTGGACGGCGCGTCAAACGCTACGAGCGGCAACACGGAGAGTGTCACGAGTGTCGCACTTTCAAGACAAGTAGAATTGGGTACTGGGAGACGCCTACCTGGGTTAAGCTTGCCAGCGCCGAACCGTTGGAAGTGGCTGATGCCGTAGATGGGCTGTGACCTGGACGCGGCGGATCGCGCAGCCGCCGACGCCGCGATGGCCGCCGTGTTCCTGGCGTCGCGGCGCAGCCGCAGGTACAGACGCAGCTGAGGGGTCACACAG